CATTTACTTTTTTTGTACAGTAATATTGATACATAATATAATGTGTATTGTTTATTTAGTAAATTGTAGTAGTTCAGAAATTGATATTTTCTTGTAAAATTTAAAAGAATAATTAAATAAATGTTACTACACCCAAAAATCCTTTTTTTCAGTGTGGACTTCCTGTTTGTTCTTCAGGACCAAACGTCTGCAGCTCCTTCAGGCTGCTGTTTGTGTCCAACTAGCTTTAAATCAAAGCAGAGGTTCTCAGTTACTGAGGTCTGGGATTTCCCTGGACCAGACTGGTTCTACCTTCAGCTCAGGTTCTGTTCTGTTGTTGCTTCAGGTAAAACTGATGGGTTTCATCTGTGTTTGCAGACGTCTCTTCTTCTCTTCAAAGACCAGACCTCCTGCCAGCGCCTCCACGGTCCGGCAGCTGTCTGCTCCTCGACCATCCACCCCCCCTCCGGACTTCAACCACTGCGTGACGGGCTCCTCGCACTTCCTCCCGTTCCCAAACCACCAGCTGGCCAGCCAGCAGAACTCTGAGAACATGGTGACGGAGAAGAACAAGATGGCTGCTGCAGTGGAGGAGGCCAACTTCCTGCAGATGAGCTGCTACTCATCCTCCTGGCAGACCTCCAGAGACGGTCCGACTGAAGACGGGGCCTACCTGACCTCTGGCTCCAACTGCTACAGCCCGGAGAGCAGGGACATGATCTGCATGCAGACCCAGAACGCTGGCCCCGACGGGCTGCTGAAGGACAAGAGAAGGTTCAGTAAGACCAGCGGGACCAGCAGCCGAACACGAGCAGACGATCTGTCGGTTTAAAGCCTGACTTACTGAACCCCAGAAACTGGACTGGATAAGAGTTCTCATGAGTTCACTTCATGTTGGAGGAGAAACCAAGTAAAGATCTGCAGGTTTTAGATCCCTGCACCACACATCTGCTGATGTCTGACTTTTACACACAAACACGTTTGATTGTTTAGTAAAATATCCAGTTTTATCACTGATTTCTGTAACTGTTTTAAGTGCCAGTCCTGGACACAGACCCCTCCTGGCTGCTTCAGTTGAAGCCCACCCACCACTGGCTTTTTGGCTCAATAATATGATGAAGTGATGATTTACTGGATGTCCACACAGAAACTGTGCTTCAGAACCCCTAAACTCAACAAGTCAGACCTGACAATCAGGACCAGGACCTCGTTAACCCTTCAGTGGTAACGTTAGGAAACATCTGTTTGTTCTTTTTTATTCTAACTTTTTTTATTGAATTTTTAGTAACTTGACATAAAATATTTGTCACTCGGAAAATGAAAAAGAATTATTAACAGAGATGAAGAGAAAAAAAATCTTCCTTACATTAATGAGATCGTATTGAGCACAAATGATAATAAAAGTAAGCTGCCCCCCGCCAAAACCCTCTACCCCCAACCCCGAATACCCCCCGATCTAGGTTCTAGCACAAAATAAACATTTAGCAGAGATCCAGTCCCTGCGGCATACAATGTTACATTTAATTACACACCCACCCCTCCAAATAAATTCCAGAACAGCAGTAATATACATATACAGTATGTATTTACATTCACACTTTCACAAACATACATACAAACAAACACGCACACATAAAAAGGAGATAACTAACTAACTAAATAAATTAAATTATAATTAGAGAAGTAAAAAAGTAAAATAAAATAAAATAAAAAACTACAATATTTTAATTTGTTTCCATGTCAGGAAGCAGGGTGGTGGAGTCTACTAAAGATAGAAAAGGTTTCCAAGTCTCTAAAAATTTGCTGGCAGAGCCCTTAAGTGAAAACCTGAGTTTTTCCAGTTTCAGGTTGTAGAGAATTTCCTTCAGCCAGTGGTCATGAGAGGGAGGGGTGCCCAGCTTCCACTTAAGTAAAATAAGTCTGCGAGCTAAAAGAGTGGTGAAAGCTAGGGCTTGTTTCAGAGAAGGAGAGAGGTCCGGGTCCAAAGGAATGCCAAATATAGCTGACAGTGGATTGGGGAGGATGGTCTGATCATATGCTTGACTAAGTGTTTTAAAAATATTGCTCCAAAACCAACTTAATTTAGGGCAAGCCCAAAACATATGGGTATGATTAGCTGGTGACTGTCCACACCCGTTACAAGTGTCATTCATTGTTGAATAAATTTTAGCTAATTTTGCATTTGTGTAATGTGCTCTATAGAATATTTTGCAGTGTATCAAAGCATGCCGGGCACAAATTGAGGACTTGTGAATTAAATTCATAGCGGCCTTCCAATTTTCATCTGACACACCTGCACCAAGCTCCTCTTCCCATGTCGTTTTAATGAAAACTGCTAACTTGGATGTATTATTATTATTATTGAAAGAATTATAAAGAAATGAAATACATTTTCTCCGTTCTGGGTTTATTTCTAGGAGAGTATCCAACAGTGTTTCAGGGGGTCGATTAGGAAAGTGTGGAAACACCTTTTTGACATAATCCCTGGCCTGAAAAAACGAAAAAGACGAGAGTTGGGCAATTGAAACTTAGATGAGAGTTCAGCAAAGGAAGAAAAGATGTTGTTGCTATAAAGGCCCTTAACAGTCCTGATCCCTTTGTCACTCCACAAGCTGAAAACTAAATCCGTAACTGAGGGCATAAATTTGCAGTTTTTGACTAAAGGTACTTGTATTGAATTTCCATGTAGGCCAAATTGTTTCCTGAACTGGCTCCAAATAGCTAATGTCTCTCTAACTCAAAAAGAAAAAATTGTATAGGTCTTCTGGACGGGTTCTTCTCTAATGAAACGTTTCGTCTCTCCTCCAAGAGACTTCTTCAGTCTGAGAGTTTCAGGCAAAATTCAGGCTTTTAAGCCCTGCCTCCATGTGACTGATACTCACATCACATGGATAATATTGAGAAAACGTCTGGTGTTATGAAAAGATATTTAAAGCTTCTTTGATCCTAAATGTTTGACCCAACCTGAAACTAAATAATTGTAGCTTCGAGGCTCTTGAAAGCTTTCATCTGGCTTGTCGTAGAAAACCAGGTCTGCAGCACCTGATAGTTTGTGTATTGCTTCGACACTGGTAAATCCTCCAGATTAAGTTACAAGTTTTTTTTATTAATGGATCAGATCCTAAATGTATGCGTATTATTTCACAATATCTCATCTACGTCAGCCCATTGAGGGCATTAGCGTACTCATTGTGATCCATTTCTCTGCGTTTTTAACCGGAGCAAATCACTTCCTGCCCCACATCTGACTGCGCGTCATCCAGGTCACAGGACTGCAACCCAGCAATTACCTCCTGAGCTACAGCTGAGGCAGACACTGTAGTTAAAAAAGTTATCGAACAGGTTAGAACAAGCATTTATCTCCCTGAGCTGACCAGCTGATCCAAACAATAGATTTATTAAATCATTAGATAAAGTTTAGCTGGAGGGGTGTTACAGAGGTGAACACTTTCATCAGATCTGATCAGAATGAGGCGATCACATGGTGGTGGTCAGAATGTCATCTGGGTTTCAGGTGGAACTCTCCTGATCTCATCCAGAACACTTCATGACCCATCAGTTAGTACAAAGTGTGTTTTATGGACAGTTTATTGCTGCTGCAGTTGCTTCACACCAGTCTGAGGTGGCAGCCCACCCTCAGAAGATCCACTCTTCGTCTCCCAGAGAACAGAAGCTCAGACTGACAGCAGCAGGATGGTTTGAATAAAGCAGGACACGATGGGATTAAAATAAACTTCCCTGGCTGTTCCCATGGCCAGGGTCCAGAGTGGGAGAGTGGCTGATGGGAGAAATTCCAGTCAGGTCATTTGAATCTATAGGAATGTTTGGGAACAGCAACACAGAAGAGTTCTCTTTGTCTTTTTTGTTCTTTTCTTGTTTGCATCATCTAATCCTGCTTTTCTTTTTTTCTGTCCTTTTTTTAAACTCTAACTGCTTCGCCATGAAAACAATTACAGCCATGTTCCAACACACTGGCTCCAAAACGTTCACTTATTGAATGATGTTCAACAAACACAGTTTGTCCAGGAGAAAATAAATTATTTAAAAGGTACTAACTTTAACTAACTTTATCTAATGATGAGAAATGACAGACAGCAGTTTATATTCAATCTTAAAAAAAAACTAAACGTACATCATGTGATTCACAGCTACCATATACAACGGGTAAAATAAGTATTGAACACATCAACATTTTTCTCAGTATATATATTACTAGAGGTGCTAATGACATGAAATTTTCACCAGATGT